CGACGGCGTCCCACGCCATTGAGGTGAAGATGGCGCAGCTGGACTGCTCCCTCGATCACATCAACACACGAACGGCGCAGGTGGACGCCCTCATCAACAGCATCCTCCCACCGGTGCGCACCTCTGCCGTGCTGTTGTGCTGTGTGCGTGCGTGTGTGTGTGTGTGTGTGTGTGTGTGTGTGTGTGTGTGTTTGAGGCTTGTGTCGTGTGCTGTGTGTGTGTATGTGTGTGCGTGCGTGTTGTGTGTGTGCTGTATGTTCACCAAAGGGCCGCTGGCCGCCTGTGTTCTCACGCCACCTCCACTCCACGCCAACACCGCAGAGCGTTGCGCACGAGCTCTCCAGTGGCCGTATTCCGCCCGCCAAACGTTTCGAACACGTGAGTGTTGCACACGCTCACGCACACGTGCACACGAATGCATGAATACACACACGCACATACATTCACGCACATTTACACGCAAACACACACGCGCACACAAACGCAAACACACATACATTCACGCACACACACACACACACACGCACGCACACACACACACACGCACACAAACGCACACAAACGCAAACACACATCCATTCACGCACACACACACACACATTCACGCACATTTACACGCAACCACACACACACACACACACTCACACTCACCAACCCCACGGTCCCCCGCGTCAACCACAGGTGACGGTTCTGTTCAGCGACATTGCGGGATTCACTGCCATCTCCTCTGGCATCCCTTCCATCGAGGTCATGCACATGCTGCATGAGCTGTTTGTCAAGTTTGATGATCTGGCGGACAAGCACGGCTGCTACAAGGTGGAGACGATTGGCGACGCGTACATGGTCGCTGCCGGCTGCCCGGAGGAGTGCGAGGACCATGCCCTGCGCATTGCGCGCCTTGCCATCGACATGGTGCACGCCGCCAACAGCGTCATCTCTCCGCTGGACGGGGAGCCGCTCTCTATCCGCGTTGGCATTCACACGGGCCCGCTGATGGCCGGCGTCGTTGGGCGTGCACGTCCACGCTACTGCTTCTTTGGAAACACCGTGAACGTTGCGTCGCGCATGGAGAGCACCGGGCTCCCCGGATGTGTCCAGTGCACGTACCGGTTTGTGCGGGCGCTGCCGGTGAACCACGGCCTGCGCATCATCTCGCGCGGCGCTGTGGAGGTCAAGGGAAAGGGCAGCATGCGAACGTTCCTGCTCGTTGGCACGGACACGACATTTGCAAGCCCGCTGCTACCACGCGACGCAGAGGCACTGGCAGCCATCCCAGACGCACCGGCCCTGTCGACGCTGGCCACCCTCGCCCGCCGCGTGCGCCCGCTCACCGTTCGCAAACTGAACACCACGGCCCTGTGGGGCAGAGCTGGCGCCACTGCTGCTGGTGCCCTGGATGCCGGCCGTCATGGTGGTGGTGGTGGTGGCCGTGGTGAACACCATGGTGGTGATGATGACAGAATTCGTGGTGATCACCACGGCTGTTGCGCTCCCGTGTTGCCGCCACCGACGTCAGTGAAGGTGGACTCGGCGACGACACCAAGTGCAGCCCGCCACGCCAACCCACAGCATCTGTCCCCTGCGCCAAGTGCTTGCATCAGCTACAAAGCCGATGCACTGGCGCACGGCAGCAATCGTGGTGGTGGTGGTGGTGGTGGTGGTGGTGACCAGTTCGCTGCTTTAGCGTCCACTGAACATTCGCGCCACATTCACGACGGCAGCGTCAGCAGTGGCCGTGACACCACTGTTGCCATACATGCGTTTGTGCGCGGTGGGAACACGCAACCCGTGTACAACCCCAACGCAGCATCGACCGCCATCCCAAGCAGCACTAAACACCAGCATGAGCAGTATCACGACCAGCAGCACGACCAGCAGCGGTGGCAGTGGCAGCAGGCGAGCCGAAACGAACACCACCCACAGCGCTATGGGCCTGCCACTGCTGTTGCGCCGGGTGCGTGTGTCGATGGTGATGTGCATGAGATGGCAGACGTTGGCCGCCTGCGCCAACACGTGCTCACACGCGTGCGTCGCCCCAAGTCCCCGTCAGCGCCACCACGAATGGCAGCAGCGTATATGAAGGACCGGCACACCGCAGACACTACAGCATCGTCCGTGTCATCGTCGAGCGCGGGGAATTTGGGCGCTGTGAAGGTGAAACAGCGGCTACAGGCGGCGCTGTCTCCCTCGCCACCCTCCACCGCTTCATCGAGCGTCTTAGGGTGGCAAGCACACGCACGCGTGAAGCAGCAGTGATTCTCTGTGTGGTTTTGTTGCGTTTGTGTGTATGTTTTGTGTGTGTGTGTGTGTGTATGTTTGTGTGTGTGTGTGTGTGTGTGTGTGTGTGTGTGTGTGTGTGTGTGTGTGTGTGTGTGTGTGTGTGTGTGTGTGTGGTCGATATGTTCATATGCATGTGTTGTGCGCGTGTGTGCGCGTTCATTTGTGCGTGACACCTGTGGTGTTTCAAAGGGGAACGATTAGCCGAGTGCTTTCGCGTCTGTGTGCACTGTTCTGTTAAGCATCATCGCAATTGTCTTCAGTGGACTGGTCAAGTGTTACGTATGCGTGTGTATGAGCAGACGCGCGTGTTCATTCGTCATCAACGTTCATCCATTCTGAAAAACATACACACCCAGTGACAGCAAATCAAGCGATCCTCGTGGAGGAAATACACACACACACACATACACACACACTCGCTCGGAAAGAAACTAGTGGAAGAAGTAAAGCCGCTGACACACACGCACACGCACACACACTGACTATTGAACTGAGCGGCACCATTGTTGCCAGTGTAAGCACCACACGCAGCATGCACGAGAAAGGAATGTGGGATGCTACTGCGACTCGAACAGATGCAGCAGCAACAGGCACGGCGAGGTGAACTGGAAATGGGTGGAGGGCACGACCAAGTTAGAAGGACGAAGAGAAAGGGTGAGGTGGAAGGGGGTTGTGGTCTTGTGCCTACACGAGTCGGGTGGACATGTTGATTGTCTCTGCGCGCGGTTTCACACCGGCGCTTGTCAGCGCATTCGATTGCACCTCCTGCATCTGCCCAAGCACATCCTCCTGCGGTCATGTGTGTGTGTGTGTGCGCACGTTGTGTTGTGTTGTGTTGTGTTGTGTTGTGTTGTGTTGTGTTGTGTTGTGTTGTGTTGTGTTGTGTGTGTGTGTGTGTGTGTGTGTGTGTGTGTGTGTGTGTGTGTGTGTGTGTGTGTGTGTGTGTGTGTGTGTGTGTGTGTGTGTGTGTGTGTGAGGTATGAACCACCCATGCGAGCAGCAAGGAGAACTGCCCATCAATCAACACATCAGCCATTGACACATCAGCCACCGACCATCCCGCCCACGACGCATACCGGGACATCTGGCATGAGCCTGAGGGGCTCTGCCATGACGGCAGCGGCGTCTGTGATGGTGCTGCGGGGAACGCTTGGCGGCTGCTGCACCGTCGCCTCCAGCACACGCGCCCTAACATCCACACGAACACGCACGCACGCACACGCAAACGCAGCATGGCCGAGAGGCAAGAGATGGGCGGGTATGTGAGCACATGGGTAGACATATGCCGTTGTCGAATCGTAACGCCCGCGAGACACACGCCCTGAGCAAGATAGGGGTGCTCAGGGTGAGGTGAAGCACACACACACACATATAATACACACGCACACACACATATAATACACACGCACACACACGCACAACACACACGCACACACACACAACACACACGCACACACAAGTCCCACACAATGCATGACCGACCGTCGATCCATGACATCATCCTCGTCCTCATCGTCGCTTTCATATCCGCGATGTGTATTCATCATTGCACTGTGACAGTGACGCACATTGGCAACAATAGGAGGTGAGACGTTTTGTGATGTTCGCGTATCCTGTGCACCATTCGGAACACGTGCACTCATCGACAAATGTCTGTAGCAAGCTTGAACTCCTGCAGCTTGAAAAGGTCTTGCGGGCATGGCTCAAACTCCCCAAGTTCAAGCTCAAGGCTTCACGCCCAACCACACATTCACATGGGCACACAAGGAGACCTACTCTTCCAGCTGCTGTTGCAAGTCTTCTTCTTGTCGAGCGCGCTCTTCTGATCTGTCGATGACAGCCGCAATTCGGTCAGGGCGTCTGAAGGTGTGGACACATGAGTAAAAGGTGAGAGGTGTAAGGGGGGTGCACGAGGTGAGAGATGAGAGGGGTGCGTTGTGAGAGACAAAATGGTCAGAGGTGCGACGTGAGAGGCAAACTGTGGGGGAGGAGAGGCATGAAGAAGTAGAGGTTAAAACTTGAGAGCAGGGATCAAGCCTGGTGCATTCGACAACGCTCCACGACGAACAAGCACATTGACTCACTGTTGATGGTGCGTTGCTGGCGTAACCGGCTGTGATGCTGCTGCACGTGAGGTCGGTGCGCGGGATCGAATGTTCTCGTCCCTCAAATCTGAGCCAATACCAAAGGGAAGGCCACGGCCACCATCACACGCACACACACAAGAGTGAGCAACAAGGAGCGAGTGTGCGAGTGGATGCCCACTTGCTCGTGCAAGTAGCGACACGGTGCACATACACACACACACACATACACATATCGACACACATCGACTCACATCTACACACACTGCAGCAGGCTCACCTTCATCTTTACTCTGTCCACAACCCATCTTTGGTTGGTGTCTGTGTCAAGCAAGCAAGTAAGCGAGCGAGCGAGGGAGCAGGCAAGCAAGCGGGTTGAAGGGTGTGTGATGTGGTGCGTGTTTCTTCCTCTCCAAAGTCGTCGTCGTGGTCGATGAAAATTAAGTGATATCTTCGGCAATTCTTCCCAACTTGGATGGCCAGCAAACACAAGAGCGACAACAAGGAAGCAAGCAAAGCAAGAACCAAGAAGCGAGCTGAACCGCACATGCACAGCAGTCGTCTGCTGGTTGTGTTGTTGTTGCCGTTGTTGCTGGTGACGGTTGTTGCAGGAGGGCAGGGGAGTGTCCACGAAAG